CAAGAAGCTAGTAGAAACAAGTGCCTTACTGGTAGTAACAAGAAGCTTGTAATTACAATTCTAATTATTTTTGCTACAACCCCCTTTCCTGAGAACGTCGACGTGAACATAGTGCCAGACACCACACAGCAGTCAGTCAGTGCACACCTAACTTCCTCCGTTGAGTAGTGAAAGAGAGTGAAAGAGTGAAGGCACATGAAGGCACCCAAAGCATGTTCCTTTTAAACAAGGATCTCGCTGTCGTGGAGGTGCTGCGTGCTGCTGAACGGGATATGGCATAGAATGCAAGGCATTCTGCCCCTTAAGTAGGAGGGTTGCAGAGGTTGCTTCACGAGGAAGCTTGGGCCTGGATGTCATTAAAGGGATTGTTCGGTTCATTGGGACGTGTTCGTGCCAAACAGAGACCGGGGTCACCAAACGTGCGACGTGTTCTCCATGAGACGACAGGAGCACATGCTGATCAACAAGTACAACAGTCTGGATCTCCAGGCTTTGTGTGTTTCTCTTCTTTTGTTTGGTGAGGGAGTGGCTCATTCTGAGAGTGGGCAAGAAAATATCAATTCTTTCTTTAAGAACCCATTTGTTTTCTCCGTCCCTCGGTCCTTCGACTTCCCGATGATGGGACTTGGTGGGTCGACGGTGGAGTATGCTTCAAGACTTGGACCTCGCATGACCTCGCCTTTGTGTCTGGTGGAAGGATGATTGGTTTCTGAATGGCTGGTTAGTGGCCAGGGTTCAGACACATAATTCTTGGAGTATTTTCAGACATTGTTTCCGCAGCCATTTCAGTGGAAGTCTCAGAAACGATCTGAAACGTACAACCATAATTGATAAGGTCGACGTAAGAATAAGACAATGATAGGTCAGTTTGGGCCCAAAACATACCAAAACGTGATTTGTGGGTTTGCTCTTGCTTGATCTGCTTGCACCTTCACCCACAACACAATAGTCCAGTCATCAGAACTGTTTTAGTAGAGGCCGGTTGGCCTTCACGGACTGGTGCTATCTTTTAACCGACGCCTTTAGGGTGTATCAACCAGTCACCAAAAAAACAACAGTGCAGAAAGGGGGGCAACTTCACAATTTTGGGAAAGGCCTTTACACTAACGTCCTGTGATATACCCAACCTACACCCTTTTCAACTCCACCCCCTTTTTGGTTCGGAAAGTGTCGCTGCATAAATCGAGCCCTGCAGTTCCGGCACCGACGGTTTTGCCAAGTTGGATGTGCAGAGGGTTTGACTAATCAGCAGAAAGTTCGTGCAGATATTAGTTATATAGTATCACCTTAGGTCAAGATACAAGGGATGACCAACTCAACGTCATGGTTTTGGCACCAGATGTGATGCTGGGTATCACCTGCGACTTCCAAAGCGCCATGATCCCCAAGGTACCCCAGTAGAGCAACATCAATTGCCCAACTCCTTCTGTTTTCATCCTGGAGTGTGAAGCTCAGCAACATTTGTGTGATTGAATTGCAGTGCTCAACCACCAAATTAACTACTATTATGAGTATGATTCATGACACCCGGAGAGAGCAAAGCAATCACAGCCTCATTTGGAACAACCACACCACAACGAGGTGCCCCAATCCACTCGTCATCTCAGGTCACCCGTCTCATCACTCTCTCGTCACCGTGACGAGCCCATCGATCGCATCTCGAGCGACCAGCCGAACGGCAAATTGGATGTCGATAACGACGGGGAGAAGCCGAGTGCCGATGACCGCCCACAGCCTTTGGCAGGAGAAGATTGCCAGTTTGAAGGCCAATTGTCAAGAGATGATCGATCAGGGGCGGATCACCATAGAGGAGCGGCGGATTCGGGAGGTGCCCCAAATTATAACAAGAGTGAAGGAAGAGTCGGACCAAGTGTGAGGAAAAGGGGGTTCACAGTGCTTTGACAGATTCATTGCCTCAAAAGTATATAGAACAAGAAGCTACGACCGGGGCTCCTGGCATCGCGAACGGCACTGAATTGGGACTCCACGGTGCGCCCGTCACACCCGCGGCTCCGCAGGAGCGGCCGGGACTCCAGGAACAGTTTGCACAGAAGCGACAGGAGGCGAAGAAGGCGGAGAAGCCCAAATTGGTGGAGAGTCTCGATGAAATGGGGCGGCGATGAAATGGGGACAGTGGTCGGAGGGTGTTCTTTTGGACCCAAAGTCTAAAGACCTCAAATGGTCCTCCGAGTCGGTGTGAAAAAAAACTTTCCTTTGAGTCCAACAACTGCGGCAGAGAAGTACTGTATCCCCCTGAATCAGCGCAAATAAATGAATAACTGTATTCTGTTACCATGGATTCAGGATATCTCAAGATCCTACATTTTAGAAACATATTTTGGAAAAATCAACATGGAAAAACATAGAAGTTTGGACAATTCTAGAGAAACTTGTTTTGCAATAATTATGTGCAATTTTGAATCTTATAGAGAAGAAGTGTGAACGCAACGAATTCAGTCTTGAAGTTTAGAGAGAGAGAGAGGGTGACTTGGAGAGTGCAATATTGGGTTTGATTCTATAGGAAGCCTGTGTTTATCGTTTTGCTTTGCTCAAGCATGCTGCTGGGATGGAAACAGGATTGATAAAGCGATGTTTTACAAGACTATATGAAAGCCTTTAAACAATATAGTAATGCATATTATAGCATTACATTTTGTATGAGATGAAACCTGTTTACGCTAGACTTCCATAGAAGTCCCAAGAGAAACTATCATAAGAACAGAGCAAAGATTAGCAAAGGTTACACTTGTAACTATTTGTACTTCTTTTTGGAGCCAGCCGTACAGACATGAAGCTGTCCGCCGCATGCAGCAGCTCATGGAAATGGAATCACGTCAAATCATATATCAGAGTCATTTGACTCTAAAGTGCTTCTTTCTAGAATTAAAGACTTCTTGCATGTATCTCATCGGCTTCCGGCTTTTCAGATTTTGGACTTTAGAGTGGGCCAGGTGAGGGGAGAATCTTGCGGATTCCAAGGGTCAACCCCATCAGTTTAGAGTGAAGTGGTTATATGTATTGGTGTTCATTCTAGAGATAACATTTGACCCCCAAAACAGGTTTATGTATCTAAAATCAGGGGCATTACCCGGAATTCCCACGAGGATATTACTGTAGTATTCTTTTGTCTTGCTGTTTTCTGTCAATGCTCCGTATTTGGAATAGGTTCAACGGGTCACTGAAGTTTGCAGAACCCGCTTTAAGCTGTGTTTGACTCCAAGTTCAGAACGCTTTAAGCTGTGGTGGAAGTCCTCAGCTGGTTCCGACTGCAAACGCGCCAACAACTTGACTCTGTCGCCTTCGACGTCGTGCGCTTGGTCGACAGAGTCGATCTCAGGAAAGAGATCCATCATGAGTCAGATCCGTTTTTTGTTGACTCAAGTCCTTCTGAGTCAGTCCCGAGTCAGTCCTTTTTGCTCACTTCACTGCTGAAAAAGTGTTGCATGTTATGTTGATTTGTTTTGGCAGATGCTTTGAACACTGATGCACACAGGGATCCTGAAGACACGAGACGGGAATGTGATGAGACGGGAGATCCCCAAATTCATCGGGTTCATTCAATTTTTCAGGAAGAACCAGTGCCTTCGTGAACCAGGAGCCTTTTTGTTAAATGATGCTCCATGAACCAAGACATGCGAATTCGGATAGATCCAATGTCATGTATGGTACGCTATCCTTTGCGTTTCACCCACGATGACGTCCCGGTCCGCGAACCTGATTGGAATCGAAGCAGATCATCGAGTCAGGCTGAAGCCAGGAGATGGCAGGACATGCCTGTTCTTTGCAAGTCAACCCGCAGAATCACCCGTACCTACGGGCCACTATGGGTCCAAACAATGTCAAAACCATGTGATACTAGGTCCGGGACTCCGGGACTCAATAATTCCTTTCCACTCACTCAGATGTTGACCCAGGAAATATGAAGAGATGCTGGCATGTGTGCATGGGCGCTCAGAGGGGCCTTGGAGAACGGAGTATGCTTCTCGACCAACCCGCCGGTTGCCCCGTCGTATCCAACCTGGGCAAACTTTTCAATCAAACACGTCCTAAAACAAGCACTGTCTCCCTGTGTAGTTCTGATATGTACACCTGCCCATGCCAGTGATGTGTACAGTTCTCCTCGGAGATTTTAGTGTGTGTTTTCTTCAAGAGATGACTTTGCATCTCATTTTGTTGGTCATAGTGTTGATGGGCCCACTGGGAATTGGATCCACCCAGTGAAAAGTCGAAGGAAGCGTCAAGCATGGCCAAGTAAGTAAGAAAGCTGGGGGAAAGTAGGAGTTTAAAAAAGTATATGTTCTCTTCAAGGAGAATGAACGGCAAGTACATGCTAGTACATATACAGACACCATTAAATTTGCAGGGGCCAGGTAATGTTGAACCGGGCTGCTTTTGTTCTCAAAGGCCAAGTTTCATCTAGGAATAACAACACCCTCAAGAGCATCAAACATCAAGCTCTAATCTCTTGTCGTGATGTCCACTTTATTTTGCGTTTCTCTCGGGCTCCGTCCTCACCTGTGTCTCCTCGTCTGAGGGGGAAGTCGGAAGGGATTTCGCATCCGGTGGCGAACCTCGAGGAGTTCTACCCACTTCACCAGGACCAAAAGAATCGGAAGTTGTGGAACTGCTCAAGGTCGGAACCCGTTGAAACGCACATACATAGCCTAGCAAGGTGATCTGAAACATAGATAGCCTATAGCATCCTATAGCAATATAGAGCGCATGACAAGCACTGCAGATGGTGACCTCTCAAGTCAAGTGCTTTTGTTGTGGTAACTCTTGTTCTTACGTTTGGGCAATTGCATTGGAGCTTGCACGGTTCCAGTACTATAACTGCGCCAAATGACCAGCTATTCTTTACTTTGTAGGGTTGCCGCGGCGCGTTCAAGCCATTGTGAAGTTCCATTTGAAAAAAGGTTGTAGGCCTTTAGGCTTCGCAAAAGAAAAGAATCGAAGGGACCCTAACATGGCTAACCTGGTTTTTAGACAATTGTACAACTTACCATGTTTTGCTTTGCCCTCTCTTTGTTTCTTTTCCATAACAGTCGGTCCTGCTTTGCCATTTCTTTGGCTGATGCCGTGAGGAATTAAAGAGCATCGAGAGACTGGAACGAGCGCCGGAGAAGAATTTGAGCCGCTGGGACTTTGAACATGACTCAAGTGAAGGCTCTGGTAAAGGTTTACCTTTGAATTGTAAGATGGGCTTCATTCGGCTTCATTAAAGTAGGTACGTGTTTGTCACGTTTATTCAAGATCTGTTCATACCTTCACTTTATTGTCCATGGATGTCCATAGGAACTCACTTTGATCCATGACCAACTCCTTCTTTCCTGTGCTTGAGGGCTTGAAGAAAGCATGGAACCGTTTGGTTGGGGCGGGGTGGAACGCAAACAAAGTCATACAACTGAGTGTTTGCTCTGTCCCATCCGTCATCGAAATGGTTCCCATCTTGATTCATCAGACTTTAACTTTTGGCCCTTCCCTCTCTATACGCCTGGATGTGAAGAGTGCAGAGGTGTTGGTCGATTGGGTTCTGTTGATTTTCTGGCAGGCCGAAAATAGCAATGTTTACCCTGTGAAGAAATTTGAGAGTTTCCCACCCAGTTCATCCTTGAAATACAAGTTTAAAGCATGTTTCAAGCTCAAACAAGAGAAAAGCACACACAACAAAACCACTGCAGTTCATCCTGTTTCTTGTTTGCGTTTGGGTTATCCCAACTCTCGGACTCACCGGACGCCATGTTGACCTGACCCGTCAGGTGACTACGACCGGGGCAGAGCAACGAGCTGAGACGGTTCCGTTGATCGAACAGATCGCCCACGAAGGTGGTGAAAAGACAAACCTGTTTCCTAGTAACAAGTGCCACGCTAGTAGTAACAAGTGCCTTACTAGTAGTAACAAGAAGCTACTAGAAACAAGAAGCTACTA